GCACTTACTGTGTGCTCAGTAGTGTGTTAACCACTTTTACAAACATCATCACACTTAAAATTCGTACTTTCCTATGAAACAGGTACCCTTGTCATCCTTGTTTTTTATTTAATCCAGATTTGCTTATTTAAGTATAGCTGGTATAATTATTATATTAGTTATATAATTTTCAGGTGTACAATATAGCAATCCAACATTTTTATACCTTGCAATGTGATCATCCCACTAACTCTAGTCATCACCTGTCCCCGTGTGAACTTACCATAGTATCATGATTACATTCCCCTTTACCTCTTCACCCATCCCCCATCCTCCACTCTTCTGCTAACCATCCCTTTGGTCTCTGTTTCAAGGAGTCTGTTTTGTTTGGTTTTGTTTTGTTTTGGTTCCTTTGTTTTCTTTTTAGGTTCCACACATAATGGAAACCATATAGTATTTGCCTTTCTCTATCTGATTTATTTCATTTAGCTCAATACTTTCTAGATCCATCTATGTTGTCACAAATGGCAATATTTCATTCCTTTTTATTGCTGCGTAATATTCTATAGGATATAAGTGCCACATCTTTATCCATTCATCTACCGATGGACACCTGGGTTGCCTTTGCTATTGTAAACAATGCTGTGATGAACAGAGGGGTGCACATATTGTTTTGAAGTAGAGCTTTTTTCCCCCTTTGGATAAGTATCTGGAGGTGGAATTGCTGGTATATCTATTTTTAGTTTTTTGAGGAGTCTCAATACTGTTTCCACAGTGGCTGCACCAATTTGAAGTCCCCCCGACAGCACACAAGGGTTCGTTTTTCTCCACATCCTAATCAACATGTGGTATCTGTTAATTTTTTCATAATAGCCATTCTGGTTGATATGAGATGGTATCTCAGTGTGGTTTTAATTTGCATTTCTCTGATGATTAGTGATGTCGAGCATCTTTCCATATGTCTATTGGCCATCTGTATGTCCTCTTTGGAGAAGTGTCTTTTCATGTCCTCTGCCCATTCTTTTAATCAAATTATTTATTTGTTTGTTTTGGTTCTTGAAGTATATGAGTTTCTTGTATATTTTGGATCTCTACCCTTTATCAGATATATCATTGGTGAATATATTCTCCCATTCAGTGGGTTGTCTTTTTGTTTTGTTGATGGTTTCGTCATCCTTACTTTTAAAACAAGGAAGCTGAGGCACATGGAGGGGAGGTAACTTCCCCACGGTGACTTGGAACAAGTAAGTGGTGATGGGACCTGTGCCCTTGTCCATCTGACCCCCACGACAGGCTCCGTGAACCAGTGTGTTTATTTAATCCCCTTGTGGGGCAAAACCACAGCCACGGTGCTGCTGTCGGGGGCAGTGGTGGGATATGGAGAGAGCTCTGGTCTTGGAAGAAGCAGCCGGGGATTCTGTGCAGGGATTTCCCAGTCACTTGCCGGTCACATGCCCTGTTAGCTCAGTGTTCACAGAGTGACGATCATTTGTAACCGCACGGGGCTGTAGCTAGGCAGAAATGTAAGTGTCCAGTCAGAGCCTGGAGCATCCAGGTGCTCCACTGGTATCTACTTACTATACTGTTGAAGTTGGATTTACCTGCCAGCAATATGATTCATTCACTCATCAAATTAATGTTCATCAGACAGCATACCAACTGCCGGGCACAGTGTTAGCCGCAGCAGTTACAGTGCTGGGCTCTGGGTCCCCATCCACAGGGAGCTCGTGGTGGGAGATAGGCATTAAAGAATCACACAAACAAATGTGGGAGTCCAACTCCAAGGAGAGCCGCCTGGCACACTCCTCAAATGGCCATCTTTCCTGCAGCTGTTCCTCTTCCAGAGTCCTCCCTCTCCCTGTGACATCTCGTTTACCCTTCGCCCAGAGGAAAGGCCCTGGGAGTCGACAGGGATCTTCTCACAACAGGCCCCCAAGCCCCTTCTCACAGCCTGCAGCTCCTGCTCTCTGCCTTGGCCTGGCCTTTTCGAGGCGGCACGGAACAAGCTCCCGGCTGGCAGTGCCGCTGCAGTGGGAGGAGCTGCGAAGGGCAGGAAGTCCCATCAGTGCACACATCTTACTCAGAGCCACACTACAAAGCCTGTGCGCAAGCAGCCCTTGCAGGTGTGCGCCACTCCCCAGAGGCCTCCTGTTAGGTGCTTGGGAACTTGTCCTGGAGGGAGGAGACCAATTTTGAAAACTTCCCAGTTTTGCCCAGGGGACAAAGATAAGCTGTGAAAGAAGTTTTTTGTTTTGTTTTATTTTGTTTTGTTTTGTTTTGTTTGCATTGCAGAGCTGGCAGTCATACAGTTCCATCTTGAATGATTTATGTAGATTTCTGTAAATATTAGATTGGCTTTTAGAAATAATTCTTCCTGAAGGACGTCTTAAGAGTATGGCTCTGTACCTGATCATGCTCAAACCAGTGATCAGGGAATCAGTCAGTCAGGGATCGTCCACTCCATGCCTGTCCAGGTTGATTATGTTTCTGAATCATCCTTGAAATTGAGAAGGGTTGTGGCAGTACCGTCACTGAGCAGAAGAGGGCAACAGAACCACATTCAGTGGGTGCATCCAAGCCAAGGAGTCCCCTTGGCTGCGGGATCTCATGGGTTTTCAGTGTTGTCCAGTACACATGGCAGTGTTCTGACTGCCATTCCACAGGTGGGGTAACTGAGTCTCAATATTTTCCATAAGGACAGACAGTTGGGAGCACTGGAGACACCCACAGTTCCAGATAGGAGAGGATGATCGGAAGGTCACGGGGCTGGAGGCTTGAGGCTGCTTCTGCAGAGCACTTCATGCAAAACGGAGAGGATGGTAACGGTCGGTTGTAGCTCCAGTTAGAAAGCGGCAGCACAGGAATGTGAACTCAGGCTTTCCGACCCCTCATCTCTGGCCCCCGACTCCAGAGGGCGTGGGGCTTATGTAGTCCTCCTGGCACTGGCAGGCACAGGGATGGACTTCTGCTCACTCATTGCACTTACTCTGATTTCTCCCTCCCGGACCCTTGTTTTCAGCCGGTTCTAGAATAAGTACAGAGGCCAACACACTAACTCTGAATGTTGCCCAAGAAGCATTGAATCAAAAGCTGAAGCTAGGCGCCCTGGCCTTCCTGGAAGGCAGTTATCAAAGAGAAAAAACTAGGGAAGGTCCTAAGCACTAACTCTATTCTGTGTGCTGGGTGGAATATGCATTCATCTTTGTGGTGATGACAGTGACAACAGCGATGTCAACAATAGCAATGTTAACCAACATGTGCTTACTCTGGGCCAAGGGACAGTGCCCAGATTTTTCTCTACATTATCTCACTTAGTCTTCTCAAGAAACCTGTGAGGCAGGTAATATTATTGTATAAGTGAGAAGAGTGAGACCAGAAAGTTTCCGTAGCTCTCCCAAGTTCACTTGGCAAATCATTCATCCAGCATCACTTGCACGCAGACCTCCTCGCCCACCCCCCTAAGGCTGCCTGCATTCCAAGGGTCCCTGATATCTTCGGTGAGGCGGCCAAGTCCTCAGCACTACTCAGAAGTCCCAGTATTACCTACCTACCCAGACCACGATTTATATGTTGATGATGGAATGATGACAATGAAGACACATGCCATTTGCACAGAAATTCCATTACTTGGACATTGTCATTGTTACCTCTTGTTACCCCAGAATTCCAAGTTTCCCGAGAGAGCTAGCTTAGCCCCGAGGAGCACATCCCCAAGACTGTCTTTCCCCTGAGATTCCGAGGACCAGAGAGCATTCCTGTCAGTTCAGAAAACTGATGGAACTTATTAGAGATGTTTCAAACCTTGGAGAAATTAAAGCTTGTTCCCTGTGTGGAGTGGGACAGATCACACAAATTGCGTGGCTTGCCTCACACAACAGACTACGATCTAAGGTGATTTATTTGCAGTAAACATTGCTTATGTACAGTTGACGTGCTAAATAGATTATTTTTTGCCTCGCTCTGGTGCCTATTTTTCACAGAGTACCAGGCATTCAGAAGGTCCATTTGAAGACAAGCCATCAAAACGAGGCCCAACACATCTAACCCTGCAGCTGTAAGCCTCACCCTCAGCCCTCCGCAGGAGCCCTGACTGGAGATGAGAGCCACAGCCTTGTGTCTCCTCATTTCATTCCCACTTTCCTTCTCCCCGCTCGTGACAGGCTTGGGTCTTTCATCCTCCTAGCACGGATCAGATATGACTTTTGGCTTCTCTACAACAGCTGACGCTTCAGGGCAACTCAGGGAGCTCCAGACAGCATGGCAGTGGGACCTGGCACCTAACCTCGGCACACACCAACCCCAGAGCACTGAAGCAGAAGGAAGACATTTTTATTCTTTGATAGTCAAGTAGATTCTTTTCTCTGAAGTTTTAACTGAGTCTGCCAACACCGCCATCTGAGAGCTGGGCTGGCAGGAGAGCCCAGAAGTGATATTCAGCTTTCGGCTGGAGTTGCCCCTGCTCTCCAGTTTCTATAAGGTCTAGAGGACCTCACCCCTCACGGCTACCACAGCCACGTCTGCAGGACGTGCGGAGTGGAAGCTACATGAGTTATGACCTGTAAGACTCCAATCTGAACTAGGATGTCACAAATCAAGCCCAGTGGAAAGGTAACCTGGAGAGTCAGGAAACTTGAACCTGAGCCCGCGTATCGGTAGAAGTTTTGTCGCCCCTGTCCCACACAGCTCTGCCCCTCATCGAGCAAACGGGACCCTGACTAGCCTCAGGGGCCAGACCACTCACGTGCAACAGAAATCTGAACAATTAAACACTGGCTGCCACCTCTGGTCTCAAAGCAGTTGTGTAAGTCAACAGAATCCCCTTTAGGTCAGCAGTGGCTCTCACAAGTCTCTTTTCCACACCCAGACCCTTCCCACATTTATAACACCCCACCTCCCAGAGTGTCATGCCTGAATAGGACCCTGGAGAAGAGGGCACCAGGATTCAGACACCCTCCCTTCCCCCACCCTTGACTAAGGAAGGTGCCAAAAAGGTGAGGGGCTCCAAGGAGATGGGTGCTTACTGTGCTGGTCGCTCTTGTCCCTTGTTCCATCCACTGTACCATCTGGAAGGATCCTCAGAAAGTGGCCCCCATTGCTGCAGTAGAGAAGTTTGGGCTTCTTGTAATTCTCCAGAGGCAGATTAAACTTCTCGGTCAGGGCTGTGAACGTGGTGACTTCCCCTTCAGCCATGGCTCAGCGGCTGCTGGTTAGGGTGTTTTCACGGCTGTAAGAAATCAAACAAACCTGTAGAATGTTCTTCTAGCAAAGGTTCAAGGCACGCTTTCAAGAAGGGAAAGAGAGCCTCGGGGTGCAGGGCTCTGGTTGGCCTGGAACCACCGACTGGCCAGGGGATGCCCACAGTGCGGGCCCTGCGTGGTGGCCGGCGGTTAAGGGAGGATGGCCCGGCATGGGAGGGATTGTCGGGCATTTCTCATTTCCCAATTGGACACAGCTTTGGATCAAGCTGTGCGTTTTTTAGAACTTTAAATTTAATCATTTGGCCAAGGGAAAAAAAATAATGTGTTGGTCCCTCCTTCTGATCCACACACATCCTCAAATTAAATACCGAAGTTGCCCTAAAATAACACCCAGGGTCCGGCTGAAACCCACAAAAGGCGAGAGGCCGGCACTGAGGTTTTGCCCTCCCCCCTCCCACTGTTTGGACTGGGCGCTGCCAGGCCCAGGTGCAGAGGCAGCGCAGAGGACCCGGGCCCTCGAGACCTGGCAGACTCGCACGGGGCCCCCCTGGGCCCCCACGACAAGGATAGCTGTGGGCTCGCCTCTGGAGGAAAATTCTGGGTTTGCTGGTGGGAATGCAGCCGGCACTGGGAAACGGCACACGGGGGTGTTCGGCGGGGTTTTTAAAGGGCAGGCACAGAACCACGGGAAGTTTTCTGAGACACCTTGTGAAGGCTGTGTCAGTCATTGCCTGCTTCCACAGCTCACATATCCCATGTCACAGAGAAGGTGTCTCTTGTCCCAAGGCCATCTTCAGCCTAATTATTGTCTAATGAGACATACTTATTATGACTCAGAAACCACTATATTGCATATTATAATCCTCTAATGTTGTTTCTGCCCACTGCATGCAAATTTACAATGTACTAGAGCAAAAAAGTATCGATTATACCTCCAAGCATTAAAAAGCATCTGCATGTCCCCACCGTTTAGGAGAATGATGTGCTGGGTGACCACAACAGTAAGGCAGAGGTCAAGAGACCAGGCCACCAACACGGGACCTTCACAAGGGTGAGTAGATACTGATTGTCGCATTGGTTATCAAGTGGCCTTATACTAATAATGACCATCATCATTAATGTATTCTGGGCTACAAGTTAATTCATGTAATCTTCACTGTACCCCTTTGAGACAGGCATTAATAGTATCCCTGTTTTGTTTTGTTTTTTAATAAAATGAAGCCAAAACTTAGAGATGCGCAGTGGTGTCGAAGGTCAACAGCTAGTAAGTGATGGAGCTGAGCCTCCAGACGCGTCTGTTGAAACAAAGCCCTAACTTGCCCTCAATCACCAGGAAAAGTGCAGCGACCTCACTGATACTGTGGTGTTGCAGCAGTTCTCCACCCCTCCAGCCACGGTTTCCCTTTCTGTGATTTCAGTTACCATGGTCAACCGTGGTCTGAAAATACCAAAAGAAAAATTCCAGAACAACCCCCAAGTTTTAAACTGTGCAGTGCTCTGAGCAGCCCGACAGAACCTCCCAGCGTCCTGCTCCTTCCCGCCTGGGACACGAATGTCCCCTCATCCAGCACATTCACACTGTTTCACCTGTTTGCACTGAGCCGTCTCGGTTATCAGATTGTTGCAGAATCACGGTGCTTGTGTTCAAGGAACCCTTATTTTACTTCATGATGGCCCCAAAGACATTTACCTAACTCTTATTACAGTATATTGTTATACTTGTTCTGTTTTATTATTAGTTATTGTTGTTAATCTCCTACTGTGCCTCATTTATAAATTAAAGTTTATCATAGGTATGTACGTATAGGAAAATGTGGTATGTAGGGTTTGGTACTACCTGTGGTTTCAGCCACAAATTAAGTTATTTATTTGTGACCCAGATGTTGGTAATTACCACCACCAACAACGCTGGCCTTGGCCCACATGCCAGCCTCAGGGTGGGACCCAGCATCTCCTCCTCCCCAGGAGAACCCAGGCCACTAGGCGTTAATGAGCCCTGTGAATGTCATGGAAGGCTAGCCAGCCTGCTGCTTTCTGCACACTCACCATCCACCTGACCCTCCATCCCCAGAACAGCCTCTGGAGCTACTCCACAGAAATTAATTCTGCTCTAAATGAAGGCAACAATTTGCATAATTTGTCCTGGTGACTTTGGAATTAGGATTTGTGTTGTTTCCTCTGCTCCAGGCATGTTAATGTCTCTGGTACATCTCTCCCCTCTGGCAGTCACACAGGCCAGTCACACGGGCCAGTCACACCATCCCCAGTTCCGACTGTCATCTGAGACCCCTCCAAGGACATCCAAAGAGAATTCTGCTTGTGCCATACAAACTATATGTAAAGTCCAACCACCCCAAATGCCCTCTCTCCACATGGCAAACTCTGTCCCACTCTTTTCACACACACACCGACAGGTAGGAACTGTGTTTGCACCCACTTCACACAGCAGACGACAGCATTTGCCTTGCTCAGCACACTGCATTTTCTTCCCAAACCCTTATGCTTTCTTCCAAACCCTCCTCTTTCATCCATAAGCCCCCAAGTCTGTGTGTCCACCTCTCTCTTCCCCTCCCTCTCTCTCTGTCTCTCTCATTTGGTCTCTACTTAGCCCTTTTCCCACCCAGCCTCCCAATCTCCCTCTCACTCCCCTTCTTCAGGATCCCTTCTGATGTAAAGCAATTCAGTTCTTCCAAACATGGATCTCTTCACCCATCACCTCTCCATTAACGTACAAGATCGTCCTTCCTTAAAATACAACTAAAAGATAATCAGTGTCTTTTGTTTGATCAATTTTCTCCAACCACTTATTAAACTACATCCTTAATTTTGTGCAGGAAGTAATAATTATGTACTAGTGGCTGCCATTTAACCGTACAAATAACCGTTCGTAGTGTCAGTCTTCAGTGGGTAGAAATTTGTTTCTTCTTGTCCCTGGGTTTTCTCCAGTGGAGGTCCCATGTGCCCCCGATTGTGCACGTCAGGGACAGCCTCCTTTCTGGATCCAGCATCGGTGGGGAGTCTCCATTAAGACATTTCTAAGTGTCGGGCATGAATTTGGTTCTGTCTGTTGGCATTCTGGCTCCCATCTGTTGGTGTGGAGGGGAACCAATGCACAGGTAGGCTGGATGAGGTTGGAGGCACCAGCTCTGGCCAGGATTGTCCTGATGCTCCCGTTCCTGGACATTGTCCCTGCAGGCTCTCCCCATTTAAACCGCCTTCGCCAGAGGCCACCTGCAGTTACACAAGGCCACGACTCTGCTCTCTGCCTGCTCCCCGCAGTAAAATGGTCAGGGATGGGGTGGTTGTGCTGGCGTCAGATTGCCTCCGTCACCCTCCCGTGCAGACCCATACCGGGACACCTAAAGGGGATGGGTCGACTCCTGAAAATAAGCCTTGAGTCAATGTGAAAGTGGTAGACTGTGGAAGCAGCATTTATGCATCACGTGAGACTTTAAAACTTTCCTTTTGTTGTCAAAGGAAAACCCAGAGGCACGAAAAGCCATTATTATTATTATTATTATTCTTTATTACACAGTTCCTTGCAAATGCCATGTTTATTAGAGGATGGGAATGAAGGAAGTCCGTGACATGATGAACCTATTAGGCAGCAGTCTTAGCAGGCCCTTGGGGATTTACACAAATTGCTCTAATAAATGAATCCATTAACTACATGAAATCAAGCACTAAGCATAGTAGAAATTTATAAGCTGTGCTTCTTGTGATTATTATCTTTTTGTTGGCTGTCAGGGGAGGGGGTTCTCTCTTCCCACTCCCGTGTGTGTGTGTGTGTGTGTGTGTGTGTGTGTGTGTCCAAGCGCACGCGCGCACGCTGGGAGATGGAAGAGATCCAGCCCAGTGACCTTTATGTCATCGTTGAGTACTAAGCCCAACCCTCTGAAATCTTGGGAAAACCTGAAGACTTTCTCGTCTTATCAGTGACACCAAAGTGAGGAGAACACCAAGCCTGTTGGGACACCCGTGTTAAGGCTGACATAGTTTGTCTGCTGCAGCTTGTGGAAGAGAAGGTGAACTCTGACACATGAGCAGGATGTTAAGTGTACACTCTTGTCCAGGATCACAGTCGTCATGGTTCAGTGTGGTGCAGTGGGCGGCGCTGCGCAGCCCCTTGCCCGCACTGACTGGCTCTGAGGCCCTGCGAGTGTCACTCGCTCCTTTGCCACCTGCCTGCCTCAGAGTTGTCTGAAGGGCTAAGCGGGCTCAACAGTCATCACAGCACTTGGAGAGAATAAAAATGGACTTGACCTGGAGGAGACAGGAGTACCTGGTTATATTGAGCTAGTCAAGCCTGATGTGGTCTAGGTCAACTGTGATTGAAGGCTTAATTTAAGATAATTTTTCAATTGGTATGAAAATAGAACTTTTTATTTCCTTTCACATTTGGCAGAAATTAGCTAAGCCTCCCCCTAGCCCCATCATTCAAGCCACCAAGACAGCAGAGAAAAGAAGAAGGCAAAGGTCACCATTTGAGGCTCAGTGCTCAGCTTATTCACAGTTATGAAGTGACATTTGTGAAGCCAGTTATATGTAGGAGACCTCTGTGCTCATTTTGGCCTGGTGATGAGGCCAGAAGGGAAGACTTACAGTTCTAAGAATCAAGGGAAGGCAAACACTGATGTTAATTTTTCTGTTTTGCTTTTAACCTCTGTCACTGCAATACAGAATACTCATGGAAGGAGATATTTTGCAAAGTGTGTAAGGCCACTGAAGGTAGATGTATAGGTATCTGTTAAGGTGAGCATTAGATATGTGTCCTCAAATCCAGCATATGTAAAATAGGCTTCAACTTTGGTTCCAAATATGCTGTAAGTCCTTGCCCCCTGTCTCTTTGAATGCCATCACCTCAAAGCTTAAGTATTCCTTACAGATGTTAATTAACCTAGATCTTGTTAAGTCAGAATGCATGTTAAATATTAAGGGTAAATACTAAAAGCAAACATATAGAATTTTTTAATTCCAACCAGCAACTGGTAGAGATAAGGGAAATGAGACAAAATAAACAAAACTG